GTCTATCCAGACTCTGCCTACATGACAGTGAGGAAAAACCTTTGATCGTCGTAAGCTGCCTATTGTCCGACAGCTTCCACGTCTGTGATTTCGAAACCGAATGAACTTTCATTTGTGATTACTGGGCACCAGTAGAATCGGCAATCAAAACTTAGAAACTTGAGGCTAGTGCCACCCCTTTATACTGCGGTAACACGTAGTCGAGCCTGAACTGATAATGTATAAGAGAAACCTCTAGATAAGGTATCACCAAACAGAACATTACATAGTGAGCACACTGCATTATTATCACATTTGCAGTGGAAAGAAGATCGACAACATCGGTAAGTACAGTCGCTCAAAGAACCAAACAGGTCCCGAAGAATGTACACTTGTAGCTTCTGAATGAATTGCAAGAGCGTTGGCGAAGCGTTTGACTGAATTCCTTTACATCTATAGGTATGCCTCCACACAAGCAACACCTGAAAAAATGGCAATTTCATTATTGCTCGGGAACCTGGAGAATGAACACGCCTCCCGGTTGACACGCTGTGTTACGTCCGTGGAGATCAAGGGGGAAAGTTAGCTATGATTCCAGAGAAAGATAGCCACTGGAATAGGAAGGCTCCCTTCAGGTTCTGTCGTCAGTTTTCTGCACGCACAGAGTGCAATGTCGGTCAGTAAAGCACAGAACAATCGGTGGGCAAAAATGGTGTTCGTATTCGTATTCTGAGAAGGCTTTCCCTCCATGATCAGCTCTACGTAACGCCATCGAGAACATCAAAATTTGAACCCCTTCAAATCATTTGGAAAACCTAGTAAACAATGGAGTTTTTTCTTCAATGCTCCGAAGCAGCTTAGGAGTTGGAGAAGCTCTTCGCTGAAGCGGCAAGCTGAAGGGCAGTGCAAACATCGTAGTTTACTAATTCTCATGTCAAAGGATTGATCAGAAGCAGAACACGCTGCTTTTGTGAAAAGAAAAGTATTTCTGAAGATCAACAAATATACAACATGCGAAAAACACAACAACCTGGAACGAAAATCAATTTCGGAGAAAATGCTGTTACCTTGCAATCTGACTAGGCTCTCGAAAGCGAAAGACATCACTTGGAGGAATGCAGTTACAGCTGAAACTTCAGAGTAAAATTTTTTTGTTAAGCTCTTTGGAAGGACGCGTTAGAGAGAGAAAATCAGGAATATGTCTAGCTCCTGTCGTTCGCAAAGATCCAGCTTCAATAATCTTTGTCTTTCGCGAAGTCCTCAATGAAGCTCCGTTTCATCGTATTGCGAACCTGTCGGACTTTTCAAATTCTTCATAGTTTTGTTTCCCTACATAATATCAGTGTTTATGGAGGCCGAGATAGTGAAAGTCATATGAAAAGTGAACTTGCTGCAAAGGCTTTGAAAGATCAGTTGCAGAGCAAGCCAACAGAGGTGGTACTGGTATTATTCTGGACAAGGAGCAGCAGTGACGCGATCGCGGAATCGAGAAGAGACGATGATGGGTATTGCAGGAATCGAGTCATAAGAACTGATGAAAACCACCAGGGTGATCTAATCTGTGATAGCTATAGCGTTGTCCCTACGAAAAGAAGGAACGAAGATAATATGGAAAGGTTGAGACAACGGCGATAACCGCGAGACCATTTGCACATCCAGTTGATATCACAGCAATTAGACAGGTCGCATTCGGACGCTCCTAACTGCGGCGTTTCCTGCATTGCTTGTTTTCTTCCCTAAATCGACCTCTACCCGATCACCACTGGTAGTGCAAGGCAGCCATAGGCCGGATCATCGCGCCATCGTCACGCCGTCCACTGATTGCGATCTTACAAGCTATACATACATCAAGAGCAGCACGCGATTCGACGAACATGATAAGCACCAGTGCGGGGTACAATAAAGAACAAATATGAGTTTGTTCCCCTCCCTGGTACTTTGGTTGTTATGTAATGGAAGTCGTTGAGGGGCCTTTTAGACCTTCTCCTAGGATTGGATAGTACCCGCATAGCAGACACTGGAGAAGACCTTCAGGGCAAAGTTCCGAAAATGGTAGGAAGTACTGGAGCCCAGTGGACACTTGCTGAAGACGACGGAGCAATTTCTGGGAGTATGCCGAATTCTCAAAAAATATGTCTCAGAGAAGTACACCGCATTCTTGACTCATTTCTAGATGTTCTCTACCCCTAGTGGCGTGTTTGCTGCGGGATTTTGGTATTGATGCAAAAACTACACATTGTGAGTACCGATGGCGAAGTATGGAGACGGCGCTCAGGTACCATTTCCCTTTGGCTTCGTTCTGGTGCTTTTTTGAGCGGAAAAAGTGACACATCACAATACCGACTGACCCATTCACTTCATACGTGGAAAGGATTGTCCCTGGAGGTGAGTGTGCAGTTGGTCTTTCAATTCTCAATATACCATGAGCGAAGAAATAGGAGCTTGCTTGAAAATCAAATGGTATCGTCCTGTTATACATGCGATTAGACTCAATCAGAAGATAAGTATTCGTTAACTAGAGCGGTGAGTTCATGGTGAGTTCCATTCCAACTAGCTACACGGTAGACGTATGTCTAGATTCGCCTCTCAGAACAGCGATGCCAAAGAAGTAGGTTTATCCACACAATATGCTCGCACAGCGTCTTGATACGGCTCGTTTCTGTTGTGAACTGGGGGGTGAAACCACGGGCGGAATCAAGATTTCGGTAGAAGTCAGGTACCTGATCGTCTAAAGAACTCTGTGCGCAAAGAGATGAGGGTTTCCGCCCAAGGGTTGAGCGTGGACCTTGGCAAAAATTTGATCCGTATTACGTAATCACAGTGCTGCACAGAGTCTTTCAAATACCAGCTCCTCCAAGCAGATTCGCAACTGAAGAACTAAAGTGTCTGATTTCTAACTGAAACCGAATGCGACCCAAGATGTCATTCCTCTCATTTACATTCATCACACTTGTGTTTCCAGATACCAACGAAGACCACCGGAAAGAAGGTTTGCAGAATCTTTCAGTTACAATTATCTATTTCACTTTTCTACACATCAGGTTTCGAGGTAAGGAGCATGCCCTGCTGTGGGCAGTGCATGCTGCGAAAATTGGCGATGGGACTAAAAGACTGTAATTCGGCTCCAGAGCAGCCCGACTATGGGGGACTAGTAGAATAAAGTTAGCAAAGGTTGACGGACCAAATGAAGGAGACACACCCGAAAAGGGGGGAGCGTACTTGAGATGAGCGGCGCTTCCGGTGTCACTGAAAAATCCCTAGTTTGGCTACAAGGCAGCAGGTGGGAAGAAGTGGGATAAGATCAGCAAAATGATGACAGGCAAATGGTGGGAATACACCCAGAATGGGTGGGGCGTACTTGAGATGGGCGGTGCTTCTCACGTAATTCTGCGACTAGGTAAGCGAGGAGCTTAGAGACTGCAAAAAACCCATGGAGAAGACAAACATTCAGCGAGAGTAGAGCATATGTGCGGTGTGTTGAGACCCTCTCACAGTGGACATGTTGTGCCCTCAAGCGTGTGTTACTCATTTCGAAAAATTGTAATTCAGTTCCAGAGCACTACAGAACCGGTAAAAAAGTGGTTCATGATTAGCGGTTGATAGTTTCACTAGGTTTTTGGCGTGTGAAAGATGTGGATTGGAGCGTAGTCAGGGACGATTTTCCATCAGTTGTAGCTGCACTACTTGGACGTGACACGAAATGTATTGAGTGCAATGAATCCACCGTTCAGTGTAACGCTGACATACATAATGAAAATGGTATCATTTCGTAAGATATCATAGTTCAGGTGCCATTGCCCTTTACGTCGACAGGGGTTCACATGCCCCTCCCCCCGCTTCCAAGGGAATTTGCGCTAGTTTACCCTCATTCAAGAGGATTTTCTATAGATCCATTGAGCGAGGAGGAGCATACAGGCGTCCAGCGAACTACAAGATGTCACCAGTCGTGGAAGCGGGAAT